ATTCAATTCCAACATATCAAAGAAACCCTAACTTGCGAATGTCTATCATTTGCCCGAAATTCTGGTCGCTAAAATCAGGACGTAAATTTAGAAAGTTTTTATGTTGCGACATTTTCATTTCATCATAACAATTTATGTCTCGTACTAATTAACATCCACTCAAAAAAAAAGTAGTAAATATTTTAATTATGTTGCACAAGTTTATAATAAAATTCCGGTGAACAGAAAGTTAATTTTTAAAACTAACTATTGAATCATGTAACCAATAGAAAAACGACTTCTAATAACTGTGCTCGTTGCAGTGGTGTCAGTAAGAATGAATAATAACTCTCATACAACAAAAAGAAGTTGAGTACTAATTAACAAAAAATGTTCATTAAAAAATATCCCGAAATAAATGTCCCAAAATAAAAGTCCCAACTTGGTGCCCAGAATTTCTTTCAATCGTTTTCGTCGTCCCAAAATAGGGATATGATTTAGGGATCGATTCTGGGCACCAGAAATCCGGGCAAATGATAACCTACTTAACTTATAAATCTTCGAAAGAAATAGTTCAATTAAAATTAAAATATATTAAAATTTGGGCGGCAAGTTGTGATTGAAGAAGTTTACTTTAAACGCTAAGATGAGAGATGTAGCACTTCATATTTTTAAGTTTTTATTTGAGGGATAATAGAGAATACTTTACACTTTAAGTTGGCAAATTTTTGAGTATTAACAATATTTTTGAAAACAAAACTTGCTTTATAAAATAGTTGTTTCTATCATGGAAAATTTTGTTTTACGGACAGAAATAGTTTTTCCATTTGCATAAGTCGATCAATGTGGCGATGAATTCTTTAGCATGATTCAAGGTCATATTTTAACGAAAGAATCTGATTGAACTCTGAGGTTTGAAACCATTGATGAATCTGATAAGAAAATATTCAAAAATATTCACAAAAATATTAAACGGGAAAATGTGTTAAACTGATCAACTGAAGTTACTTTTTATGTATCAGATCCCAATGTAGAATACTATCAGATTCTGATCATATGGGGTTAATCTCGGTTCGAAAGCCGAAATTCTATATAGAGCATTAAAGTCCCATCACACTAGAGGAACCCGAATCTTCTATTCTGTCTTATCGTTTATAAATTATAAAGGTGTCTTCTATTTTGTCCTGCTCTACGTCATATACTTTTAGTGCTCGTCATTTCAACTTTCTCTAAACGTCTTTTTATGTATGCTATATTGTTACTAAATTTTTATGTCACTTCTTCTAGACTATAGTAAAGAGAAGAAAAGAAATATCTCCTTATGAAGAAAAAAATGTTTCTAAAAGAAGAGCCCGTCTCTATTACATAGCACGCTAAAGCAGACTGAAACATCACACAATTATCAATTCTTAGCATATAAGTAAGACCTTTTTATGAGATAAAATAGCTGAATCACAAAAATCATTTTACCTCATACAAATGAATACAGAAAAAAACGTACTTGCAAAACACCTTTATTAATTTCTGACACAACTTTCAGCTTCTCTCAATATCCACTGTTGCCATTTATGATGGGTATAAACAATTATTGCAGTTGTTGTTTTGAATATTGTAGGAGGCAGTGTTAAATCAAAGTAAATAAGTCCCTCATTATTATTAGAAGTTATTGAATGCTCAAATTCACTATCTCTACTACTAACGTCGTTACTAAAATCAAACAGAATAAAATCAGTGTTCACTAGTTTTGTACCTCCAATTTCAATATCAGAATCTATTGTACTAATATATGAATCAGATTCTATATTAAAATAACTCTTCTCAGTGTTTGATAAGAGCAGATGAAAATGCACGAGTAGATTATCATCCACGAAAGATTTTTTATGTTAATTCAAGTTAGCAAGAATTTATAGATGACCTTCCATAAAAAGAAAAGAATTAAAATGAAAGATCCCAAAACTTAACCGGAATAGGCATCACAGAATATACGTATACATCTGTTAATTATTCTTTGCACTAATCAAATTCAAGATCTTTCCGATAGCAGGCGTTCGCGTCCTTGATGATTCACTCGATCGCTAATCTTTGTTTATCTTGCGTCTTCTAGTCTAATTGGCTTAGGACAGCTGCCCAGATAGCAGAAGGCGTGGGTTCGAGTCCCACGAAAGTCAGCTTTTTCATTCTCTTTTCGTTCTGCCACTGCATGTACACTCTATGACTCACATATGATGCTTACAGAAGGAAAACAGAAATATTTTAGAAACAAAACTTAAAAACACACAAATATAGAAATAGAAAGTCGATGCATGATACAAAAGTAGAATTTCAATTCTTAGAGGGCGTCTTCTGATGTATCAAGAGTTTTAGTTAATATAGGCTTTCTTACCAAGTCGGAAGTAACCTGCGCGCAAATTAGATTGGATCCAAATGTAGAAATGAAAGGTCTTGTTAATCAATTTTCTATAAAAGAAACAATTAATATGGAGAAAACTCCTGAAGAAATTACTGTTAGCTTACGCTTTACAAATGAAATAGTGATTTCCGTTGCTTTTGCTTCATGTGAAAGTTAATGTTAAAGTATTTTTTTTTATTATGAGGATTTTATTGGTGACATCCATATATTTTTGTGAATTTTTCATACAATTTTTGCGGACGCTTACGAAAATAGGCATAACATACAAGCTACGATAACAAAAGAGAAAGAATTACATGAAAGAAAAAACGAACAGAATAACATCGAAATTGAGGCAGTGATGACGCACTCGACGTGTATTACTGTTCTTCCTTTTTGTTTATTCTTCCGTTATCGTATATCATGTAAACGATGACACAGTGTCGGGGGAAGGAATCGAGCCTTCTGATATGTAACTTATACGCATAGAATCACTACGCCATCCCCAGCATGTTAAAGTATATGTAATTTGGTTGTATAGCTCGAAAGTTTTTAGTTGACGAATACTATTCCATCTTCACAGTTAAAGTTACATTAGCTAACCCGAATTAAAAAGCGGCAACATCCTCACTTTCACAGCAAATTTGAAGTGAAATTGAGTCACATATAACCCCTCGCTTAGCTTAAGATCAACGTGCGAGAAATGTGAATCTATAAGGGCAAATAAAAATAGTTGGAAACTGTATTTTCACTTGATCTCCAATACAGAATCTGATATTTTTCAGATATTATACGAACTGCGTGTTTTTGCATTTTACTGTCACTTCACTATTGAGTTTCACTCGGTATCTATTCATATAGCAGTGAAATGAAATACAATAAAAAAATCTCCTAACAACATTCTGATGAGGGTTATTTCGGTTCAATTATTGATACTTTTAAAATTTTCGTCGCACAATTATTGGCTTTTAAAAAAGATACATCGTATTTTCATAATGTTAAATTCTCTGTCAACTTATGCCTTGGTACTTCTTAAATTTTTCTTGATCGGAAACAAAATTTCAGTATATTTAACATACCTTTATTTAGCAAGTACAATAAAATATCAATTTTTCATGTGTGACGTTCTCTTTAAAGCTTTCTACTCATAACAAAACAATTATTTTTTGAAAGGAGGGCTATCATTAAGTAGCCAAATCGGTCCCTGATAGAATTGAATCTCTTCACGATAGAATTGTACTACTAGGTGATATTAACTAATATAGAGTAATATCAGAGCGATTTCACCGTTCTATTCTGTTGAAGATGCCAGTAAATCGTGATACGTAATAATATGTATTTTCTAAAATTACTCAACATTTTTGCACGTTAAATGAGTGAGTCGTGACAAGGATTTTTATATCAATAGATACAACTTTTAACGAGCTATCGAATAGTACTAAAATATTGAAAAAAATTCATTGACCTAAATGAGTCAATAGGAATATGATTTGATAAAAATAGAATTTGTTTTCATTTTCTGATATTTCAAGACTTTTTCACAAGTGCAAAGAGAGATCCGCCGCGATAATTTTTATATCAATAGATGCAACGTTTAACGAGCTATCGAATGGTAGTTTAAAATTGAAAAAAGTATCGAGTCGCTGGTATCAATATAAATTATGTATATTGAACACAACATAATTATATTGATGTCTATGTGCTTTGATGAGTTTTTCAGAAAAAAAGTCGAAAACATCATAGTGAATATTCGCTAAACAATTAGGAAATAACAGATATAAATGAAGTATAAGTATTTACGATGATGAATTGAAGAAAACGATTCAACTCACTAAGCATCATCATCAGTTGAGTCGTAAAAGTCTGAAAGATCTTTTGAATCTGTGATAAATCAATCAAGTCACCGGATGGCATTGAACAATCTTTAATTTGCCATCGTTTAAAGGATAGAAACCAAGCTGCCGAGGCAACATGACTGCAGCAGCCAGTAAGAGTATTTCCTCTTGGACAATCACACCACCTGTCTAAAATTTATTTTACAGAAAATTGAGTTATTGGATTATATGATAATTGATTAACATGAGCAGATCGTGTTGGAACACGTATAAGGCTTGGAAACTTGTTGCATCTATATATTTCATACTCCACTGGAGTTATAAGTTGTGTTGTAGTTGATTTCTCTTCTGCATATGAACGTGCATGTTTTAGCTGATACACTCATTGGTAAAAGCGAAAGTTAATTTACGCTAATCAGCTTCAAGATTAAAATACAGTACCTAGAGATATATCGTTAGTTATATATGTTTCAGATGAAATCGGAAGCTCGGTTAATAATTCTAGATGATCCAATTTATTCCGTTTAGGCGAAATCTTTTTTAAGTTATTTTGTTGAAGAAACTAAGAGAAGAGAACAAAGCATTGACCATATGTCATACTATACAAAGAAGGTTACTTTTTCAAAAGTGTTTTTCTTACTACGTAAAGCTTGCATCTTTACAGATATTTCAGCATCATCTAAGCTAGATATTTTAACTGATCTTCGATATCGGTTGATGATAGCGCAATCAATCGAAAGATAATCTTCAAGAGATGGTATAGAAGAGTTTTGTACCGTATTGGAGAAAAATTTGAACTGTTTTAGTCTAGCATTTACTGCTTCCACAACCCATCTAACTTTTGTTATGCATCTAGACTCATTAGCATCATCTGTTGTGAATTGACGACGACCATTGAAAAATGGAGGTGAAGCTATATCAAAGCCAAATCCTTCTAATGTACTAAATGCATCCCGGAAGCCTCGATCAACTACAATGATGTCATTCTTAAAAAATAAAATAAGCTTTTGAGAAAATATTTTAAAAATTCGAACCTCACTTAACCAGTCAACAATTTTTTCAGTGTTGCGTTTTTAAATATTGTTCATTATAGAGCCATCATTGTTAGAAAAATCTGAGAAGAACGGACCGATGCATGATATTATATAGCCACTCGTTGAAACGATCATCATGGGCTTCAGAAGAGATCTCTTTTTTTTTGAAGACAATAGAATTTTCTTTGAAAATTGTTATTACGCGATTTCTATTAGAGAAACATTACATGTTATCACTACGAAAAGAAAAACCACGATTATTTACTTGAATGTACACGTATGTACCATCAACTATAATTATTGGTTTATCGGATTCGCCATCGCAAATTAGATCACGAGCTATTTCTGACGTGTGTTGTTCGATTATTTCACGACGGCTTATGCGATTAAAACCAAAGTTTAGTGGTACAAACGTACTCATTAAGGCACTCGTTGCACTTTTAATAGCTCGAGAAACTGTTAATTCATCTGGTAGTTGCAGTAGAGATGCCAATACACGATTCGATAGTCCAAGTCGAGGTTTACATAATAGAGTTGCAATAGCTTTACGAATAGATCGGTTAGTTGAATCGCGCATATCGATTTTAGATACACGAGAAACTAGACCATCAAATTCATTTTTGTCAAGACTTGTAAAGAATTTGTATTCGCCATCAGGTAATGACAAAATATTGTCAAAGTCTAAACGTTTACGTATTTGACAGAACGATTGACATTCAGATATAATAAGCTGAACATCGCCAGAATCAAGTTTCCTATATTGTACTGAAGATGGTTTTATACTATCAATAGCTGACGTTGTCAACCGATGATTATTAACATGTTTTGAGCAGCATCTCGCTCCCTCTGGCACAAAAACATCCTTTGAAAAAAAGATGAAATTTCGATCATCAGTTGAAATAATATTCGAACTTCGATCAATATTTTATTGACACACGCAACAAATTCTATAATTTCATTACAAAGAACTATGTTACAATGAAAACTAGTTTCTCACTTATGAGACGAGATTGTACAATTCATCTGTAGGGTAATGCTGTCACTATGCACGAGTGAACTTAAGCTATGATCCGTTGTCGATCCTTGGCGACATTTCTCTCCTTGATCAGTTTCCATTGAGTCATCCTAAAAGAATATCAGATCTACTGTCGCTTTTATCACTAAATTCACTGGCGATTTCCGATTTCCTGTCAGCATCTACTTCACTAGTAGATAATTCTTGTTCAATACGTGCCAATATGTTCCCGAAATCAGCATAACTATTTTTCCAAGTATAGTAAGATGTACGACGTGTGTTACAAATTTCCGTTTCTGCTGTAACAAACTTCGTCGTTTTGATTGAGATAAATAAAAGCAAACAATGTGACTTCTATGGTCGTACCGTCGAGCATTCCGAAAAAAGTACACCACAAGGACAATATGAATGTGGCATAGTTGTGCAATATTAAATATCGAAATCCCAGGTCGAACATACACGGTCGTATACGACGGTAAATCGCCGTATTTGGCCGTATTACATGGCTCCGTATTACGATCGTAAATATCCGTGGCGTATACGGCGCTTTACGGTCGTTTTTGATCGTATTTCACCGTATTACGACACGGAGATTTACGATCGTAATACGGAGCCATGTAATACGGCCAAATACGGCGATTTACCGTCGTATACGGCAGAAAACGGCCGTATACGGCCCGTATTTCACCGTATACGGACGTCGTAAAGCTCGTCCTGGGAATACTTCCTTCAATTACGAGAATATAGATTGAATAACCACTAGAGAGACTTTAAAATTCATCTTTTTCTAAAGCATTATTTCTGTTAAACACGTGGCCTTTTCCTACTCGATTTTATGTGTGAAATATTTACAGATGTTGTTTATATGAATCACATGATATCTTTATTTCCCTTCTTTCCTTCCTTTCTATGGCACTTCGAAGATAAAAACATAAAATTACAAGAAACGCATGGCACTTTATTCGTCTGTTGACATTAGCATACGTTGTGTTCAATATACATAATTTATATTGATACCAGCGACTCGATACTTTTTTCAATTTTAAACTACCATTCGATAGCTCGTTAAACGTTGCATCTATTGATATAAAAATTATCGCGGCGGATCTCTCTTTGCACTTGTGAAAAAGTCTTGAAATATCAGAAAATGAAAACAAATTCTATTTTTATCAAATCATATTCCTATTGACTCATTTAGGTCAATGAATTTTTTTCAATATTTTAGTACTATTCGATAGCTCGTTAAAAGTTGTATCTATTGATATAAAAATCCTTGTCACGACTCACTCATTTAACGTGCAAAAATGTTGAGTAATTTTAGAAAATACATATTATTACGTATCACGATTTACTGGCATCTTCAACAGAATAGAACGGTGAAATCGCTCTGATATTACTCTATATTAGTTAATATCACCTAGTAGTACAATTCTATCGTGAAGAGATTCAATTCTATCAGGGACCGATTTGGCTACTTAATGATAGCCCTCCTTTGATCAATGGTTTTGACACATCTAAATTCAGGCTGTACACTCTTGACCGGATCCAGTCAAATTCCGAGAACAGTCAGATCGTAACTGTTGTTTAGTTCTTTTTACCAGGGAAATTTCTGTTAGCGTATTTACTTTAAAGCGATTTTTCAGTTGTCAGCTTGATAATAGCTTCCGATCAACGCCGATAAGATTTTTTAAATTCTAAAAGAACTCAACCATTTTATTAGTTCTTCTTGTGCTACGTCATTAGTCCGTTATAATAAGGATTAAAAGCTCTAAAAGAAAAGTTATCGTTTTTTTTTTCGAAAACTATTTACATATTGACATTTAGCCACAGTAAAGTGCAACGCATTAAATATGAACAACAAATTTTCTCTTTTTCACAAAATTAGTTGAACCACATTGCAATTATTCTTTAGCACTTCTAATACATGAATTTTCAACAACTGAAAAAGTACCAAACTTACTACACAATAAAATACTATTTTCCATCAAAATATAGTGTTTCATCTTTAAAAGTCAATATTTTGGCGATAGAAAATTTGAAAAATATCGATGATCAAACATTGAACTTAAAAAGTAAGCTTCATAATAATATAGGAGTGTTAAAACAAGAGTGTCTTCGTCGTGCCGTATTGAAAAGTATTATGAAAAGATTTGAAATAATATTTAGTAGTATAGAGGAATAGAAAATTATGTAGAATCTTTAGTCAAGGAGGAACAAACTGATTTCGTGATTTCTGAGTTCCAAAATCAAAATGTGATTTCATTTAATTTCGGTGATTTCATGTGATTTGATTTCCGTGATTGCCACCGCTTCCATGGGAATAAGGGTGCACCCTCCGTCGCGACTCAATCACTGAACAGTAGACCGAATGGGAACCAAGAACTACTGAATGCCCCGTTGATTAACCTAGAGTGAATTCGACAATCAGCATTTTTATTTGAAAACACTAAAATTAAGTGAAACAATGATATCAGTCTACAAATTATTGTTATACGATCGAACTCATTTTATCGTTCTAGCATCATTTCTTCTTCGATCACTGCTATTTATGAGCAATTCCACATAATCCACGATGGATTCACACAGAAGCGGTTCAATCGAGGTGCCTATATTTCGCTCACTTAAAGATATTTTGTAGAGGGAAGAGTTCTAAGAATTTTGACGCAAACCGTTTAAAAAAATATTAATCACTTGATTTTTTATGAGGATTGTACGAAAAGCCCTAACATTCACCATATCCAGACATGGGGTCCTATTGGAGTCCTATCTCAAGAACAGCTCAACTAATTGGGCTGAAATGTTTCAGAGACATATATTTCGGTGACTCCTATTTACCAAAATAATTTCGTTTCAAAATATTGAATTGCTGGGATTTTCTGAATTACTCAATATATGAAAAAAGAAACATTTTTGGTAATTTGCGTAATTCAAACCTTTTGTTTGGAATTATATATTGATTTGAAAGCTTCACTATGGAAAGAGCACTGAAAGGCGTACCACTCCTAAAAATTTCAGCTCTCTGCATTAGTGCGTTTGACCAGAACAGTGCTCTGAAAAATGGATTTTTGACAATTATGGGAGTTTTCAGAAAAAGCTATCTCCCAAGAAATGGATCTCCTTGGAAGCTGATATATAGAAACTAGCAGTACTCTTACTAGGTTACAACCCTGCGAAAAAATTAGCGTGACATCTCAAAGAATAGTTCTAGGAGACTTATCAAAATATACCAAAAATGGTCCCTTTCCTATAGGAACTGTACCCAGGTTAGCTTAGAAATTGATCGAAGAGTTGTACTACATGAGATAAATTCTACTTAGTTAAAATTAGCATATGATCCTGTTTCCTTCCTAAAAAGTATTCATTGAAAAAAAGAAGAATATTGTTTTAGAAAAATTCCCATACTCCCCTTCAGGTCTCTTGAGATCAATTTACATTAGTTCAGCCTCCCCTACTCTCCTAGGACAATTTTTCGCAGGATTTTATTTTTTTTAAACAATATTCTTATAGAATGTCATAGAGGATCATACGCTAATTTTAACTAACGAGGGAACCGCCGAAGTGATTCAAAGCTTTTAAACTGATATTTTACCGATAAGTAGAGTTCAATGAAACTAGACAAAGCCCAAAATGACAAGAGCGGATGGGTCTTCCTTCTCGAATTATGATGATTTTACTGGGATTACCAACTATGACACGATATTCACCGAGAAATCAAATTGAGGAGTTTCGGCCTGAATTTTCGCGCGCATACAGATCTTGTGATCTATATACTAGCCTCGAAGTTTCAGCCAACAAAAAGTGCCGTTGTCGAGATATTTTAATCTCAAGACAACAGTAGCATGTTGTATACAAACCAAAAGAATCGACTTTTCTTGAAAACTTATTATTTCCAGAACAGTACATTCGTTTTGACTGAAACTTCAAGTCTAAACTCCCTAATTTGATTTTTCGGTGAATATCGTATCATAGGTAGTAAACCCAGTAAAATCATCATAATTTGAGAAGGAAGACCCATCCGCTCTTGTCCTTTTGGGCTTTGCCTAGTTTCATTGAACTCTACTTATCCGCAGAATATCAGTTTAAAAGCTTTGAATCACTTCGGCGGTTTCCTCGTAAGTAGAATTTATCTTATATAATACAACTCTTCAAGCAATTTCTAAGCTAACCTGGGCACAGTTGCTATAGGAAAGGGCCCATTTTTTGGTGAATAGGAGTCATCGAGATATGTCTCTGAAACATTTCAGCTCAATTAATTGAATTGATCTTGAGATAGGACTCCAATAGAACCCCATGTCTGGATATGGCGAATGTTAGGGCTTTTCGTACAATCCTCATAAAAAAATCAAGTGATTAATATTTTTTAAAACAGTGTGCGTCAAAATTCTTAGAATTCTTCCCTTTACAACATATCTTTAATTGAGCGAAATATGACAACCTCGATTGAACCGCTTCTGTGTGAATCCCCCGTGGACTATGTGGGCTGGCTCATAAATAGAAAAATTATGATTTCTATTGATTTCATGTGATTTCGGTGATTTCATTTGATTTCAACTTGATTTCAGAGATTGAAATCAGTTTGTTTCCCCTTGGTATTAGTCGATCAGAATCATTTTGGCGCACGTTTTTATGGGGTTATTGGCGTCACGACTGAGGTGGTTGCTGGTCGCGCACGCCAGCGAATAGATATTAAAAATAAAAATAAATTTATTTACGAGAAAATCGTTGTACACGGTGATTATACTCATCGGCAATATAGAGGTTCCCATGTTTATCGAAAGACAAGCCTTCGGGGCGATAGAACTGATTTGCTTCTTTTCCTTCACCATTTTCACCCACAACAACAGTGCCTTGTTTCGCTCCTTGAAGCCAACGTGTCACTCGATGATTATCTCCTCCTTCAGCCACATAGAGAGTACCCAACGTATCTACGAAGATTCCGGTAGGACATGCTAACTGTGTCAGAGCCTTACCATAGCCTTGACCTCCAGCTACAATAACGCCTTCTGTTGCATTTTTAATCCATTTTATTACACGATCATTGTTGTGATCTGACACATATACACTCTGTTGTCGATCGACAAAGATGTAGCTCGGCCACTCGAGTTGATTGAGACCGGAACCTTTTCCATTTCCACCCGCAACGAGAGTTCCTTTCTTGTCTTGCCGATCTATTTCATATCGTCTAACTTCATGTTTTCCAAAGTCAGAAACGTAGAGATTTCTCTGCTCATCAATGGCTAATCCAGAACATTTGACTTTGTCGATGAGGATTTCTCCTTGAGTTGTATCATGATGACGAGACCATCGTACGACTCGTCGATTATCTTGATCAGAAATAATGAGACTATTCGTTTCTTTATCAATCAACACATCGGCTGGACAACATAATTTATCTAATCCATTGCCATAGGTATTGCCACCAGCAACAACTTTTCCATTCGTACCATTTATCTTCCATTGCATGATACGACTATTGCCGGAGTCAGCAATGACTATCGTTTGATTATTATCATCATCAACGTAGAGACCTTTCGGATAACAGACGGTGTGAGTGTCACCACGTTTCCCATTGTGTCCAACAACAGTGACACCATTCTGTTCCCAACGTGCATTGGCAGGTAGATTGGGGATGACTAGAAAAAACAGTTGAAGGACCACAAAAGCAAATAGATAGAGTTTTCTTTATCTAAAAATAGTGTCGTATTCTCAGGCTTTATGATGTGTCAACAAATTCAAAAATAATATTGTACGTATTTATACAAAGATTGCTTTGTTTTTGTAAATCGAATTCGTGAGATTTTAGAACTAAATGTAATAACACTTTTGAATCATGAGAAATTATTTTCTATAATGCTCACGACTATAAAATATGTTCACTGCATACAAAAATAAAAGTGAAATGATCTCAGCTGTAATTTCACCTCTACTCTTATAAAACATATATTTTTTTTTTGAAAGATCTATCAATTTGTTATGTTTTCAGAAATAAACTATTATATATACATGTATATATAATATCTGCAGTTTGATATTTAGATATTATTTCATTCGATCATAATGCAAACTACGTAATTATATGTAAATATGGTGTATATAGATTTTTATTTTTACTCATAAGCATGTTATTCTTGATGTAAAAAGTATGATTGTAGCATGAGATGCTTAATTCGAATTCGAATTCGAATATAAATGGAGGTTCAACTACATAATATAAATTCAAAAATGAAAAATCGGGCACTCGTACAGTTACAGCAACAAGCAGAAGATAAAATTTTATCTTCAATATATATAATTCGAATTGAGGCATCGCTGGATGGCGTTTCAGAAAGTGCAAATTTTAAAGTGTGCTGGCTCGACTACTGAGCCAGGTGAGAATCTGTCCATTAGTAAAACTTTGTATGATCAACAACAACACTTCCGACACTCTTCTAACAGGATAATGAAACTGTTTAATAAAGGATAACTGCTACATGTTGTGAACACCACATATGAATGATCGAATAGGCTTCTATATCGTAAAGATAGCAGCTGGCTGAAGTGCAGAGCAACATGGGGCAGATCTTTAGCTAAAGATTTCATATTTGCTAGCAGCACAGCGCCGCATTTTGCCACACGCCAATATGATACTACGGTGAGCTGACCACCTGCCACAATGAGGCTATACGCTATTATCATACTTTCACAGATTTTACTATCCACTCAACCAACGCCCACTCCCTTTCGTCATAGCAAAACAATTTACTGAGATTTTTAGTATTAACATGACCAGAGTCTTAGCGAAACTCAGCACATTACTTACACTTTTATTTAAACGTCGCGGCGTGGGGCGCAAAGCATCCCCCGCAGAACCACGACCAAAAAATGGTTCGTGTGTACGCAGTCAAGTCGATCCTCATCACATTCGCTGATAGCCCTAAAAAGGAAGGTCAGAATAGGTATCGCATACATACCTTCCAATGGCCGCAGCGTGTTCACCCAGAACCAGAAGTTATCCTGGGGATGTTAGTTAACTCTGTAGGAAGCGAGTCCCACACTGACGTATGCTTCGAGGATCCTTAGGAATACTTATTGGAACGGCTGGTATGTTTTTAGCATCGTCATATATTCTTTTAGCATCATCAGGTACGCTTCTAACATTCTCAGGTATCCTACCAGCATGCTCGGATATCGTTCTAGCATGCTCAGGTATGCTACAAGCAATCTCAAGAGTGTTACTAGCAATCTCAGAAATGTTCTTAGTAATCTCACGAATACTCAAAGCCACCTGAATAATGCAAAAAGTGAACGTAGGCAGCTGGGTAGCATTCTGATGTGAGTTGCTGGAAGCTGATGTGCACTCGCAGCATAGTTATTCGAGATAGATCACTCATTAATAGGGGTGTCAATTTACATTTTATTTAATTTAAATTTAACTTCTTGAAAAGTTAATTTAATTTTAAATTAAATTCTATTAAGTTAAATTTAAAATAAATTTAAATTCTTCTGATGCAAAAATTTAAATATAAATAAAATTTAAATTTTCAGAATTTAAATTTAATTTATATTAACTTTTTGAAAATTTAATTCTCGATTTAATAAATTTTTTTAAATTTAAATTTTAAATTTAATAAATTGTTTGGATGGATACACATCATGGCTACGAGAAAAATACGTGACTTTAACAGTATTAAATACAAAATGAGAGGAAAACCTAGTATTTCAGGTTAATATTTATTCTTAATAGTCAAAAATTCTGTACAGATGATGCAGGATCCGTCATCTTTCTTCTTCAAAATACTAGGATACTCATAAAAATATATTTAATAGCACAATTTATAGAAGAATGACTAGTTTAACTTTAGAAAACAGGAAACATACTTAAATTCGACTTTAAATAGTAGCAATCAAGTCAAAAACTATGTTTTTCTACTTGTCTGCAAAATTTAACTAATTTGAATTTGAAACAATTTAATTTAAATTTAGTTAAATTTAAATGTGACACCCCTACTCATTAACTGCGATGGCAATGACCACTCTTGCTGGAAAAGAGTATCGGTATATCGCGCAACGGTGGGTGCAGCGACAAATTTCGTGAGTGTGCGAGTGGACTTATATTAGTGCCTCAATTCGAATTATAAAATTTATAAATACGATAAAATTTATCTTTACCTTTTGCCTGTGCACAATAGGATTTTCGGAAAATTTCATTTATTTTTGAAGTCGAATTAGGCAGCTACTCGATTATAGTAAGATATCGCATCGATCATTTCATAAGCAAAGGAAATTATCTAAACTCAAATTTATATTAATTCGTAGATACTTTACGATTGCAAGTACATAATCGAAGAAATTATATATCAAACATGTTTCAAGAGATGTAACTAAAATATGCTAGTCAATGATTATCGAAAATGATAGTACCATTCTAAGATAGTAAATAGAGATTCAAATTTACAGAACCAATCATTAAATATTGTTCAGAAACGGGAGAATGTATGGTAATTTTAGATCGTGACAACTGTTCTATTTTCAATCAACTACGTAGCTCTTTTTATATGAGTTTATCTATTACATTTTTCAGTCTGATTTATGAACATATTGTCAATGCTTAATGTTACAAAAGAAAATAATCATGACCCATGATGTTTCAAAGTAGTCTTAACGTGTGCAAAATTTTAATTTTCACATCAATATTAATGTAATCGCTCATGGTTTTCATTAGTCGAGTTGAATTATAAAAAGTAGTCTTTTTTTTGATTATTTAATCTTTCAATGCATTCATATATTCTACTATTTTTATGATCTGTTGATGTATGAAAAGTTTTTCTATGATTAAACTTCATAAAAACAATCTAATGGACTATTTATCCTACCCAAACCATATGATATTGAAATATTTATTAAGATCTAGCTATTTTATGCTATTTCTATTCAACAATCGCAAGTACAACAGTCGAATTAACAATACTAGATGTTTGAATACTAACATTCTATAATAAGTCTTATATATTGACTATTTTTTATATAAACTCATCAATTTTGAACAAACTAAGTCCTTTAAATATTCATCTTTTTTCAAACTATGATAGTCGGAAACTAGTTTGCTTGATCCAAAAACAATTTTGTTTCTATTTTTCGTATGCGTTTCTTCGAAGCAGTTTCTTACAAAGATTTTTTTCTGAAATTCTGAAATATACAAAAGCATGCTTAAGTTTTTCTTTGATTACTATTGCGATAGAATGTTTTTATAGATGCATATGTTATTAATCTTCCATTGGTAATGAAAACTAATTTGAAACAGAAAATCAACAATTTTCTAGAGCTTATAGGATTCTATATAACTGAGCATGTCAAGAAAATATTCTGATGTAAGAAAAATGAGATAAAGCCAAATTAAAATTGAGTACAAACAATTTATTTTTAATATATTCTCACAATATCACACATATTTCTTGTTTACGAATCTGTTACCTGTACTAAGAATTAATTGAGAAAGAAATATTTCGTTCACCCCCGATCAGAGATGGGCAAGTCAGCGTTTTTTCGACTCAAGTCAAGTCAAGTCTGATTTCAAGTCAAGTCAATTTGAGTCATAATTCATTCAAAAAATCATCAGGTGAAGTCATTTTTTGACTTGACTTGCCCATCTTTGATTTATTATTTGTATTTTTCTTCTACACTTCAAATTAGAGTTCAAAAATTTAATTAATAAAAGTTCTCTATACATATAATTTTTGACTTGACCTGAATTTCTCTGTACGACTTGTTGCAAGTCAAGTCAAGTCATCATGACCCATCACTGACTTAACCCGTTTCAAGTCATTTTTTGACTTGACTTGCCCATCTCTGCCCCCGATACATGATATCGCATGCATATATATATAACATCAGAGAAGAAGAAAGAAAAGAATAGAAAGATGAACAGTTAGATATAGATAGATGTCGTATTATTGGCTATATTCATCTAATGATATAGTATTAAATTCTATTAAATTACTTGTCCCATATAAAATACTAATGCTAACACTTTAATTATGATAACCTTTAATTTGTTCATGGGTTATACCGTTCTTTTTATATGAAACACTACGGTTTTAATCTTCTATAAGACTTGATGCAATTATTAATCAAAAAAAGAAAACCCTTTCATCAACGATAGAAAAAAACATTACTATTAAAATTACTACTGTCTAAAAGAGAATGAGTGGAACTTGTTACATCTATATATAAATGAATTGATGTTTTTTTCTGTAATTTAATGTTCGACAATCATACTATGAATATTGTCATCGTGATACTGTGACATTTTTTCTTTATAAATATGAATTTGTTCTCATTTACAAATCGAGCTATATCACGTAGACTAAGAAGTAAATCTTATTCATAACTGATATACAGAGTTCACTTCTGATTTTGATGCATTTGATATTTGTTTCAAAAACAGATATCGATTCATTGAATTTTTTGTCAAAAAGTTGTCTGAAGGTAAGCCGTTGCATAACATGAATTTAAATAACAAAATATAGTGGATAATAGTACATCATCCTATCAAAATCTATTCACACTGATCCTTTGATAAACTTACCACGAGAACTACTTCGTTTATCAACAAGGCTTGTATCAATCAAATCATTGGGATTTTTGAGTGCAAGTAGTTTCTTGTGCCACTCCATACTTTCATTAAATTTATGAGCTTGTGCTGTCACCTCGCCAAGATCTTCATACAATTTAACAAGCAATGGATCATTTGGTGGAAGTTCTTTTAATAGGCGAGTAAAGTATTGTTCAGCTTGGCCGAAATTTCCCATTTTCATTAATAGTTTTCCTAATATTCGAAGATTTGTTTCTCCACTACCAAGCTGTTGCTTCATATACATGAGAACTTGCTTTAAATCATGTTCATTCTCGCTATACAACGTCATTTTAATGATCCATACTTGACCATCACTACTACGATTGATGCTATTCAAACGGAAAATAGAACCAAGCATGAAGAGAACTTCTGATTCATCTTGGAAATAACTACAGGCACGTATATCAGCAAATGGTTTTGAAGTGATATTCTTTGGATCCGCATCAATTTCAAATAGTATAGGTTCAAAATTGTTTGTGTCATTAGAAACATTGAGAAATGACAAGGCTTTTTGATACTCAGTACTTGTTGAGAAAAATGAATTTACCGAGATTAATTGACCACAAGATTTTTTCAACGTTTTTAATTCGTCACTTGATATCATCTGACTACGATAGACATGTAGACGTTGTTTAGTTGATTCATCGTTTAATTGGCGCTGAATATCAGATATAAATGCACGAAATAAAAATATCAGATGAATATCTTGTGTACGTAAAGCTGCATTAAGAGTTTTGTAAAAGAATGATTCTCGTGTATACCACCATAAGGCTTTGCTAGACGAATATGTTGTTTTAAAATCATTAACATTACTCAATTCCATACTATTACCCTCATATTGCTTTTTACAACGATGAATAAGTTCTTCTTTATCTTTTTCAGTAGATTTTAATCGTAAAAGACAATCGATCAGAACTTGATAAAATATAAATTGACCATCTATACCTGCTGTTGAATTACCAGTAAAAAAATTAATTGATAATGGCTCTTCCACCATTTTCTGTATTTTATAGTCAGCTTTAATTCGAGAAATGAGTTCATCAAGTTCAACAACCACAGCTTTTACCTATTAACACAGCATCATTTATCTAAAATTAAAATCACTACTGAGAAGAATGTTACTTTTGAGTATTTGTCCGCCCATTTTTTGTTACCGTTCTTATCCATGCAGTATACATAAATTGATATAACTTGCCGAAGTTTGTAAATATTAGGAACAATTTCTCGTCCTAAACCACCACTCACAATCATTACTATTCGATCGTTTTGTAATTGTCCCTCGATAAATTGTTGACATTTTTTTACATCTTGAAATTTTAGAAGACGATTAATAATAGAGCGTAATTTTTGTTCTGTATCTCGTGTTTCTTTAGGATTAGCATCCAACCATAGGAGACTGAAAATTTCAAGACGGCTATCATCCGGATTTGTATTAGTTTTATCAGTTGATGAAACAGCAGAGGCCATTTTAATCAATAGAACTAGATAGAATAAAAATAAACAAGTTAGACTGAATTAGAAAACAAAGGATGATTTTTGCTTTAAGCACTATATGGTCTAACTCTACGATATCGAAAATCTCAATCATGATTGTTTGAATGATCAAATTGACATCTCAAAATTAAAAAGACGCTGCACCACAGAAATTACATATAAACAAATGCAATGGATAAGTGATTGAGAAGATAAAAATTATTATTCTTCGAGTACTTCTAAAAATTTCAGCTATGCAAATATGAATTGAATAATCAATGTTTTACATCAGTGATTACATAGTTCGCTAGCTGACTACGTATGAAGAATTCATTTACAAGTCAACGATTGGTTTTGAACAACAAGAATATCAATATCTAGAATTTTTCAATATTCATAAAGATTTTGATAGAGAAGAGTGCATTGCATTCAACAAAATTCATTCTGACATTTTTGATTCCTCCTAGCAAGTTTCTCACCGCCAAATACTCGACCAAACTCAAGCTACTGTCGATTCACTATTTGAATGGCGCATGGTTACCGAAAAGAGAATTTTCTCTTTTTGTCACACTGTTTTTCGACACAACTAACTGTTGTTTCTCACGTGCTCACTGACAAGGTAAAGTTTAATGCTTCATTTTTTTCTACCTCTTGAAATCTTTTCAAATATGTTCTCTGCTGAGACAACAACAATGCAACATACGCTGAAACCGAGTAAATAAAGATTAAAGGTAGGGAAAGCAAGAAAAAAAGTTTTTTCTATTTCTTAAAGGAGATTTATTTCTGTACAAACATATTGATGCTGCATAGTTAGTTGACCACTATACGCCATTCATAAGAAGGAGCAAATATGACGTTTCTTGTGTCTCATAACTATGAAGTTGTGTTTAGTGATCGATTATAATTAGCATGCCTTTTGTCTTCTTTGATTTCACATGCGATTCATAAAGGTTTATTTTGTACGTAACATTGGCCAGAAATTAATCCATAAAATCTTTGTTTTCAAATTCTATTAGTGACGTTTTCTTGGGTGTGCGTGTGGGTGTGGTTGTGAGGGGGGATCTGACCTCAACAAGTGCCCCACACCCCAACCTATGACGATTTGTGTTCAATTGAAAACGTCAATTCGTTGCGCACAGCCTTGTGCATTCATGGAATAGTGATTTTTTGTTGAGAAGATTTTTATTTTCAGCCGCTTTTCTCATCGATGAACCAAAATTGTTGTTGAATTTCCAATACAATCAGTCAGGTAAGGTGCAGAAGCATGAGCCAACGCATTCCTCCATTGTCCTTCAGATGGTCGCCATATTTCAATAGTTAGGATAAATCTTAGCAGACCTGCTTCTAAGAAGAAGATCTTTATTAACATGATTAGAATTTATTCTTCATTTGGCGTACCGATGTTACTGAAGTAAGGAACACTATTCCATTATTACCGTGGAAGATCTATTTCTTAAACTGGACATGTTCATGTCGGAAATGAGATAAAAGCGGAAAGATGCTTGAAGGGCGATGAAGGCATAGTTCAAATTCTAAAAGAATGTGGCTGGCTACAGATAGTGAATTTGATTTGCACTATATGCGAACTGCTGTAAGCTATTTATAATAAAATAAAATTCTTTCTTGTTTTCAATCATATTTGTTCTTGTTTTAAAATGGATAAATTTAGATACAATAAATAAATTCCTAATTAGAACATCTGAAAACTTTAAGACATTTCTTAGAACCCATTGATAATAATGAAATAAATCAAAATATAAATCGTACAAAACTTCATCTTGATCAATTAAAAGCATACTTGCATTAGTAAAAAGTGAATTAAATCTTTCACAAATGAAGAAGGAGAAACATTTACATTTTCTTCAATATTAAACTGATTAAGTCGATCATGTAGCTTATTTCATTGATAGGCAGTTATCAGATAGATAAATAACAATGAGAATGAAAACAAAATAGGTGTGATTCGCAGTGTTAGTTAATTCAGTGATAAATTACTTGAACGGCTTTCTACTATAGATATGAAATTCATTTTTATTTTGTTGTCAGAATGACGATAAGTAATGTCATGTCTGAAAATAGTTTTAGAAAACAACATTCTACTTCTGCATGCATAGTTCTTCTATATCTTTATTCATATTAATATTTCCGATGAGTTAGAATAAAAGAGCGGAAATGATATCAAAGCCCGCAGAACTTCATACAGTCTTTTGAATATCATTTGCACTATTAGATGATGAATGACGATGAAAGTAAAGATATTTATGACAATAAAAATGACTTAAAAGCTCAGGTATCTATTTCAGATTAAATAGAGATGTGTCATGGAACGGTACCTATCGTCCCCATAATCTCTATGCTATTTTCATTTGTCTCTTTCTATTTGATTCGTCTTCGAAGTATATATAAATATACTATTGAGACAATGCGCAAAAACAAAGATCTAATGGAAATTTAATGTTGATAGTACATTCAATATCGTAGGGAAACCTATTAGCTGAGTGATATGATCGCAAATAATCGATTGAGTATTTTGTCATATTATATTTCATTTGCCAATGGAATTCAGGTTTCTATTTAAAAAAAAATCTTACATACAATTTTGCTGATCAGATTGAAAGCTGAAAAACAGTTTTCATGTCTCAATCGTATCCTGCGATGCATCTTTCTTCATTTCAAGAGTTCGCAAATCTCATCTAACGATGTAAACAGGTAAATACAATAGGAAAATTTTCATAAACTATGTTTGATATTTCAGTAGTAGTACCATAAGGATCAGAAACAGATCCTTCAAAACCATTGTATAGAAGTGTGAGTGTGACTAAAAATAGTAAATTGACAAGTAAACTTTAAAAACGAGCGAGCCATACGCATCTTGACTTTCTTTCATTGACAAATCCACACTAAAGATTATTTTGCTATGTCAAAAACACTTCATCTCTTCTGGAACACTTCATTTTGAAATTCTTTCCTTTTCTAGCATCATAAATGCTATACTCTCCTGAATAACCATTGTCAAGTCGCTAGTTGCTAACCTTTAGGAGAAACATAGGATGGATATTCAAAAAAAAAAAAAAAAAGATGGAAATTAATCATGGACGTGAAAAATTTTCAAAGTCAGTAAGTCATTTGTTTTTTCGCGGCAATATCTTAGCGAATAGAATTATACTTCTAATTACAATATTCTTCTTGCTTTCAAATTAAGCATTGTAAAAAGCACTTTCAAGAAACTCTTTTTCAAGTAGATAAGGACGAAATGTCGTGACGAGAAAAAAATTACATTAATACTTCTATGACAATAACCCCGACAGTATGACAGTTAGCGTGCACACTATTATTGTAAGATCAAATCAAAATAGAAGAAGAAACTTTCTGCTTAGCTAATGACACAGAAAAACAAAACCTTGAACACTAACATATAATACGTCAGTAATAAATTTTAATACTCTATTCATTCTTTCAGATGATTGATAAAACTAAACGATCTTGTATCGCTCAATTATGTCATTAGAAAAACAAATATTTCAATGGGTTATGTGCAATACAGTAACAATAAATAATAATTAAATTCTACTAAAACTCTTTGCTGTTCTTACTATCATCATTTTAAGTATTTCAGTTCGAGAAGCCACATGCTACGACGCACATTTATTTATACAAACAAATTGATTTCATCTCCACTATAGAAAACAGTAAACCGATTGTGCTGATTATCCTTTGGTTCTTCTGTATCATTCGTTATTGATACAGAAATAAATCTCAGCACAGTTCATTTACCATTCTCTTGTATAATATCAATGAAAATTTTTTTCTCTTCTCCTTTACTTTCCAAACAACAGTAACAGAATTTCTCTTTTCACAATTGTGCAATAGCTCATCACTAATGGAAAGCGAGAGACAGAGAGAGAGAGAGTGAGCGAATCGAATATTTTAGATTATTAATATACTAGTCTATCAACACATATTATGTCTTTTTTTGTTTGCGGTTGCTATATTCCATAATTGGCAAGTCCCCTATGTTTTTTATTTCCCTATTGCAATTAATTGGTCAGACTTCTAAGTACGAATGTCAAACAGCATGTCAACACTGGAAAATGGTTGATTGGATTAACAAGCTTACTGGTTTCTTTTTTTCTTCTCAAACTAACATTAGTTACTCAAAACAAAAAAAGTTCACTGATGATCAGTAGAATATAATAGTAGTGAAAGTCATGATTTCTTTTTCTCTTTTTCTAACAGTTAGTTATAACAATACACTATATTTAAGAGTTTCTCGTTTACAGAATCATCCTGCCCCTAAAAATATGCGGGTTTTTTGATTGATTGCATGAGAAGACAAGTTCATCGAATAAAAGATACATAGAAGAAAAGAGGAAATTAGATAACAACGTTGTAAAATGCGGAAACAACAGAAGAAGAAGAAAAAAGAATAAAAATATACATCGACAAAAAAAAAGACATTGTCTTTATTGATTACCATTTAGAGTTTGTTCGTCTCTCATGTTATTTAGATAAATGAAATGAATGGGCACCGAATCATTTCGCTCATATTTTATTCTATTATTGTTCTGCTTAATTATCTTTGTTAATTATGGTAGCGGTGATCGAAAAAAAATTATTGTCAATAGTCTATTTACACATTCGTCTTATCCATCAATTAATTTTGCTCTTCAACAAATTGATTCACTACAGATGGATATTATACTTGAACTTAATACAACAGAAGAAATTATTCCAGTAGGTTATCTTAGAATCGTAGGTTATTCTATTGCTGGTTCTTTCTTTTTAGTGTGACGTGGGCACAAGCGTAAAAAAACTTTTTACTATAATTAATAAGAAAAATTGGTTTAATGTTTTAATAAGTGATGCTTGTCAAAATGTACTAAGTTATATAGCTGAAGCCGCAACTTATTTTCATATACCGGTGGTACGAATATTGATTATAAAGAAAATTTTATTTTTTAATGATATTTCATGTACTATTCTAGTTTTCATTTACGGAAAGTGATCTATCGTTATCATCGATTGAACGTTATCCACTTTTTTATCATATCGTACCATCGGATCGTGCTCATAATTTAGTGCGGAAACAACTTTTACAATACTTTAATTGGACACGATTTGGATTAATTTATCAACATGGATCAAAATATACATTGGTTAGTTGATATTATTAGATAGCAAAAAAATTCCATTGACATGTTGTTAACGTAGAAATAATGATGGCTTTATTTTATGTAAAAATGAATAATTAAATTAATAGAGCAGAAAAATAGACTCGATTAGATCTAGATACAGTTTTTTTCTCGTTTGATTATTCTATTAATAAGAAAATCAGATTAACATAGCTGATAGTTTGCTCATTTAGGTTCTTCTTTTTTTATTGAGACTTGCTGATGTCTAAAACAAACAAATCCGATTGGTAGTGAAATCTATTCGGAATAAATGACACGTTTGAATCAATTCTAAATGTTGCTGTTTTCATCTTAATCTCAAGCGAATTTCAATTAGTAGAACTTTTCTTTCGATATAATTTGTTTATTTAGAGGAATTGAAGCACTAACGTTAGTATCCTTAAGGGCCTCCCCCTCAGAAAAGCCGATTTTTCAAAAAAAAACGAAATCGAGTTTTATCATAGAAAGATTCCCCGTGATCTCCTCTTTCAGAATATATATAATTTTTTGAGAAAAGGTTAAGTTTTGACAGACTTATTGAAGAAATACTCTTTCATCTCCCTTACTCCCACACACCTTTCTAAAAATTTCTAAATATTGATCTGAAAACATGGGTCTCAACTAGAAAAATGATTATAAATTTCGTTTGCCTTTAGCTTTCCCTGATATTTTTTTTTACTTTAAAGGTTTCAATTATAGCTAACTTTTTATCAGACGGGTTTTCGATATTGGATTCCTGGACTGATAAAAGTTCGGTTTAGTGCGTTTTTTATACCTACTTTGGCAGTCATACCGAGTAAAATACTTATAAAAAATGAGTAGAAGCGAATTTCAAAATTCTATCTGATAAAAATTTGCGTATGGAGGCTAGCTTTAATTTAAAACCGACCCGGCCTCGATAGCTCTCATAGTCATGAAGTTATAGCAATTCTCGTGGAAGCCACAAAACAAGTCATAAGTCTAGTTTAGTAAGGTATACAAGGCTGAAACTTTTACCACAAGCGTTTCTCACTGCCACCATGTATCCCTGAAAGTTTCAGCTCAAACCTATGCTCAAAAGTGGCAAGTCGATTCTGAGAGGGGGGGCCTTAA